ATGATGTAGGCTGGTGGGAAGAGGACACTGCAGGGCCACAAGGCAAGTCTGTGAAATTCAGAGCATGGTCAGGAGATGAAATGTCAGCATGCTTGTCGGAAATAGAGAGAAATGGAAGGAGAACCTGTTTAATGGACCTCACGGTCAATGTAGCACATCTTTTGGAATTGTTCATCTCCCAGCCACACACACAAGTAGTGTGGAGATTTACTCAATGGTCATAATAATTATGGGAATGGAAAGGGCACTAACATTTATTAAGTGTCTAGGATGTGTCAAATACTTTACATAAATTGTACATCCTCATGTGGTCCTAGTAATTTGATTTAGATAGTAGTATCCTACTTTATATGTGAATAAATTGAGGCTCTGAGAACAAGGAACTTGCCCAAGGTCCCATAGCTGGTAAGTGCTAGAGCTCAGTTTGCAGGAAAGCTATGACACTACACACTTTTGCATAAAGCAAGGGTTGGCAAACATTTTCTGTAATGAGCCAAATAATAAATATTTCAGGTTTTGTGGGCTAAGAGACAAGATGGAGTATATTATGTAGGAATGTATATAACCATTTAAAATGTAATTACTTAAAAATGTAAGAACCATTCTTAGGTGACAGACTGTGCAGTAGGCCACATTTGGCTTGCAGGCTGGAGTTACTAACTCCTGGTCTAAAGTATCTTGCATATGTAAGCTAAAGCAATTTTGGGGGAAGGTGAGGTGATTGTTTTTTTTAAAAAATAATTTTTATTGATGTGCAGTTGACATAAAATATATTAGTTTTAGGTGTACAACATAGTGATTCAACATTTATATAGATTATGAAATATTCACCACAGTAAGTGTAGTTACCATATTGACTGTATTCCCTATGCTGTACTTTCCATCTCCTTATTTATTTTATAACTGGGAGTTTGTACCCTTAATCCCCTTCATCTATTTCTCCGATCCCTCCACTTGCCTCCCCTTTGGCAACTACCAGTTCATTCTCTGTATTTATGAGTCTGTTAATGTGTTTTTTGTTAGTTTGCTTGTTCGATGTTTTGTTTTTTAGATTCCACATGTAAATGAAATCATATGGTATTTGACTTTGTCTGACTTCTTTTGCTTAGCACAATACCCTCTAAGTCCATCCATATTGTTGCAAATGACACAACCTCATTCTTTTTTATGGCTGAGTAATACTCCATTATATATATATATAATCTTTTTTATCCATTTATCAATGAGTGCTTAGGTTTCTTCCATATCTTGGCCATTGTAACTAATATCACAATAAACATAAGGGTGAATATGTGTTTCTGAGTTAGGGTTTTTGTTTTCTTTGGGTAAATAAATACCCAAAAGTGGGATTGCTGGATTGTATGGTATTCCTGTTTTTTTTTAAATTTTGGTATCATTAATATACAGTTACATGAGCAACATTGTGGTTACTATATTCCCCCCATTATCAAGTCCCCACCACATACCCCATTATAGTCACAGTCCATCAGCATAGTAAGATGCTATAGAATCACTACTTGTCTACTCTGTGTTATACTGCCTTCCCTGTGTGACCCCCTCCCCACATTATGTTTGCTAATGGATCTTTATGTTTGTTTATGGATCTTACTACTACAGCTGTTTGTGCCATAGCTTGGGAGGCCAGATGTTGTACATGTTCTATTGTGCAGTATATGAGTCCCACTAGAACTGAGTATGTATCTCAGTAATAGTAGCAGTATCTGAGTATATGACCAGAATGTTCATACATAAAGAACAGGGATTTTTGTTTGATGCACTGCTGTGCCTATGTCTAGAAAAGTACCTGCTATTTAGAAAGCACTACCATATTGAAAAATAAACAAAATTTAAAATATATGATCTAATTCTGCATTAAAAATAATCTATTACAACACTCAGAAGTTTAAATGTTTCTTGAGGTGTTAAAAATATTTTAACATTGCTATGGAGATATTAACAAAGTATAATTTTTCAATGAAAGCATCCAGCAAATCAATATATTACATAACATGATACCTATTTTGAAAGCTCCCGAAAGCATTTTGCATTATTTGCAAAATTGATATGAACCAAAGAATTCTGGGCAAACGACTGTTGGGTTTTTTATATTTTCAAGATATATGAAAATAGTTTTATAGTAATCCGGTACTGGGAATGAAGGGATTCTAAATCAGGAGACCAAAAGATCTATTTTGATGTCTGTTTGGTATTACACATAAAATAATTTTGGAAGCATTTACATTCATTTCTGCCATTCAAATATATACTAAGTAAAAGGTGGTTGGCTACTTACAAGGGATACATGTCCTGGGAATTTACGGTGGAGTAGAGGAGACAGACTCAGAATCAGATCATTTCAACACAAGAGCTATGATGGAAGTCAGTGTAGGGACACTGAAGAGGGGCTGGTAAGCCACACTGGGGATGGCAGTGAGGGTGGGAAGGAGGGAGGATCAGGGAAGGCTGCAGGGGTGCTGGATGTCAACGTGCGTCTTGAGGAAGATGAGCGTGAGTTGGCCAGGTGAGGAAGGCGAGAGCATTCTGTGCAGTGAGAACAGCAGAAATGAAGACTCAGAGCTGTGGGAAACTACTCAGTTTGGTATAGGAAGATGAGCTTGTGAGGAAGGCACTGCTGGGATACCTGCTGTTCTAAGATTGAACTAGATGCTAAAGATAATAGTCATTGAAGCATCCTTAAATAGAGGAGTTCTTAGATTTAGTCATCAACATGGAATACTATGCAGTCTGAAGGGTGGATTTTAGATGGGCAAGGCTAGACGGGCAATTATTTGGCTCAGGTGAGAGATGAAGCCCTGTCTTGGACAGTTTTAAATTGAGATGGAAAGGGGAGGAGGTTCCAGAGCCAGGTGTTCAACAATTACTAGTTCAACCTGGAACTATTAGTTTGAATGATATGCTATTGTCTACATTCTATCAATAAAATTTAAAAAATCTTTATCAATTTAAAAACTGTATTTTCTAAACCAGAAAAAATAAATTAGAAGAGCAGTATTGTTTCACATTTTTGCAAATCTTTTAATGTCTGGATTTATAAAAGACAGATTCTCATATCCATTTCTGCATTTACTTTGTTGCAATAACATTGTTTTGGTTGAAGTATATGAAGAAAATCTGGCTTCATACAAACGTGTAGTAGAAAAGGAAGAAATGTCTTAATAATATTTTCAGATAATTGTGGCTATTCTTTAATATTATACCAAATAAACTATAGTTCCTTAAAATATAAATGCAGTGTGGAATCTGATACCATATCACTGAACTTTTTGTACTCTGATACATTAATATCCATTGGTCTCTTACACCTAGAATGGATCTTTCATCCATGTGTGATTGTGTAATGTTTTGCATTGTTCATTTGGAAAATACTGAGTTACAAAAATTTTCCAAATAATGCCATATTTCATTATACAATATCAAAAATAATTTTGATTTATTAATAACACATCACCAAGACCACATCAAAAATGTCTTCATATATTGGGAAGCTGTCAAGCTCAGGGTGTCAGACAGAAGTATCCTAAATCCTAATTTCACTTGAAAGATTGAATTTTACCATTGGCAACAAATACCATCAGTTGTTCCTTGACACAACAGGCTTACTTTGTTCATTAAAAAAAGAAATTGACAAATATCCACATCAGAATAACCATAGTTTGTCAAGTAAGATTCGTGTTCCATGAAAAATAGTGACTAGTTCAGCTCACAACTCAAACAGCATTCAATTAGAACAAATGGCAATGTCATATCATTCATCTAACAGATCAAGTACTTTTCCAGACAATCATCATAGAATACTAAAAATATGGTATTTCAAGGGCAATACTAACAAGATTTAATGAAAGTAATAATTGTTACTGTTTCATCTAGGACTTTCTTAAGTGAAAGGCTTTTTTTTTGCAAGTGGTTGGTGGTAAATAGAATGACTACTAGTTTATTTTATGCCACTGTCGTGATTTGTTGTAAGGCATCAGTAGTTTTACCCACCATTGCTTTTGTACCATCAGTGCAAATGTCAACATAATTGTGCTAGGATAAATAATGAGATTCAAAGAATTATTGTTTATTTTGAATGGTTTCAGCACCATTTATGTTTGTTGTCAAGCATTCATATAAAAGATCTTTGATTAGCTGGTGCTGGTACCTGACGAACAATAACCAAAATAGCAAGTCCAATCAGATCTGTCCATTTCTGAGGAAAAAGTGCAGTTATGCAGACAAGATCAGTTTCCATGTTTCCAGTGAAATCTTTGACAAATTACTGTATTATTTGATGAATTGCTTGTACATGATCATACAGGGCAATACCATGATTTCTTTTGCTGACTTACATCTAGAAGGCATTCGGAAAAATAAACTACCAGGCTTTAAGGGTCTTTCACCTGTGAAGTTCACTTCCTCAGCCAATACAGTAAAATAATTTAACCTGTAAGAGACTTCACTGGCTTTTTTATCTCAAGTTTGAAAAGTTATACCAAATAATTTTTGGCTTTTCAAAAACTCATATCTACATTAAAAAATTCAGTGCCTTTTTTACAGCATGGAGAATATAGTCAATAATTCTGTAACACCTTTCTATGGTGATAGATAATAACCACATTAGAGGGGGTGAGGATTTAATAATATGGGTAACTGTTCCATGATGGTGTTGTACATTTCTTTTTAAAAACTTTGAATGTTTGGCCTCAAAATGGTGGTAGAACTTAACTGGCACCATAGTACATTCAGAAATGATCTATTGTATAAGATACAACATGGTAAATTATTAACTAGTATAAAGCCAAGGGAAAGATGGCATATTTTTACTTCTTATTCAGTTTCTTCCAGTGGCTTTGAAATAGATCTTTCCCTTCCATGAGTCAGGGAATCTTCAGATAGGTCATTTTCATCTATTTCTGTATCTTTATATGTAGATGGTGCAACTGTGCCTTGAGGAAACCAATCTTCTCATTTTCCTTTTAAAGCAAAAGAGTAGGCTCCAGAGTCAGATAAATGAGGATTTTGATCTCTTCACCTATGAGGAGCAGTGTGACCTTGGACAAATTCTTAAGGCCTAATTTTTCAAAACTAGTTTCTGTGGTGAGGAATCTGGGAGTGGCTTTCCGGGGTTCTAGCTCCAGGTTGCTGATAGGACTACACTCAAGATGTTGGTCAGTGCTGCAGTCATCTGAAGACCTGACATGGAGCTGGAGGACTGTCTTTCAAAGTGGCCCTCTCACACACTGGCCAGTGGAGCTGGCTGTTGGCCTCAGCGGGCTTTTCCAGAGTCCTCATAACATGGTGTCTGTCTCCCACAGAGCGAATGTACAATCATGTTTGATTAGGACACTGGCAGTGTCGTATCATTCAACCTCATAAACCAAATTAAGCTTATATTTCAACATTTAAATGAAGCAAAGTGTATTTAAAATTTATTTTTGCAGTGATAGTAACAAACTTGGCTTGTGGCCATTATGGGTTGTACTCTTCTCCTACAGTACAATTGCTTTGACATTGCATAGAAAACTTATGTTTATTTTGAAAGTCTTTCCTTGACCATATTTATTTATATTGTTCTTCAGAGGCTATGCTTTTGAGGTTTGAATTTTTATATACCAAGTGAAACCAGAAATAATTTTAGGGGAATAATTAATTTTATAAAAAGAAATTAGTCCATGAATTTGTTTGAGTGGCCACTTAAAGCCTTTATTATACATATGTTAGTGGGAAGGAAAAGAAGAAATCCAAATAGATTTTATTGAGAAAGCCCAACGTCTAATTTGGAACATCTTTTAAGTGACTTTGGTTTCTGAGGAACTGAAATTACTGGAGCCTTGTATTTTTTGCAGATACATTACTGTGGAGTTGTTTCCTTTTTATTTGTTTAAAAAAGTTACCAAAGTCCAGAGACTGGAGGAGAAAAAGGCAGTAAGAAGTTTCATGGGCAGTAGAACACTTGTGAGAAACCAGTAAACACCGACTTTGGAACTTCCACCAGGGTCGTATAGTACCTATGAATACTGGGTAACAACTTCAGCTCGTCTCCCCCTATTTCCCCTTCCCTCCCAGAACCCTAACAGTCTGTTTCTGCTGATTTCCTTGTGATCTGAAGCAGACATCCCTGTTCACCTGATCATGTGGCCCCAAACTATAGCCTGAACAGGGACCCTGTCATTGCTCCTCACCTCCACTGGGGCCAAGAGCTGTGGATTCTGCCCTAGCAATGTTTCCTGGCTCCGCTTTCTTTGCATTTACCTTCCTCTTTTGCACTGTCTCTGCACTCAGGGCCAGGCCCGTTCTTCCCAGGCTGTTGCAGTGGTTCTTAAGGGACTTTGGGCCCCTCAGTCTCACCCTTTCTAAATTGCTTCTAGATTATTTTTGCCTGTGCCAGACTCTTTTATGTTCACCCAGTGTTTATTAAATAAGACCCTATGTCTCAGCCTTCCACTGGAGGTGCTCCACTCAAAGGCACCAAACTACCTTTTCCGTTCAATGTTATCTTCCCTTTGACTATCCTAAAAGGCATGGTATAAGCTTTTATCTGACTCTTAATTCTTTGTTCCTGCTGTTCCCTAGTCCTGTAAATGTTGTGGGTCCAAATCCCACCCATCCTTTAGGGCCTATCAAAATGTTACCTCCTTTGCAAAGATTTTCCTTATGACATCCTCTTTTACTCCACCAGACTTTTTGCCTTTCTTTTTAAAGACAGTCACTGAACTTTGTATCCTTCATGATATTTAATCATAACCGGTTTCTTTTAATATAGCTTGTGTGTACTTACCTTATCATTCCTACAAGATTATAATGTACTTGGAAGGACGGACATAATCATTCATTTTTTTCTCCTGCAAACTCGTAGCAGTGGTTTTCGAAGCAATAGGGCTCCAATAAAAACTTGAATAATTCCATTAAGAAAGTACTTACGATAGGCAAGAGCAAATTCCTATTTATCAGATTCAATGTAAAGATATGCAGGATTAAAAATTACACAAATACAAATACACATATACATATATGTACGTTTATCATTTTGCTAAGATGGCTTTGTTCCAGTTGAAGGATACAGGGGTGTACGGCATTGCTTTTTATTCCTGGGCTGCGCCAAAAAATTTTGTTGCCCAGATCATAATTTGAGGACAGAAAAATGGCTTCAACACCTCTTTCGGTTTAGGGCTCTGCAAAAAGCAATGTTGACAAACGCTTACTAAATTAAGTGGAAAGAGGCTGCTCTGAGGTGCTGGAGGAGACAGGCCCTTACGAACCACCCAGAGACGCCAGGACGGGCGGAGAGGCGCGGGGCTTCCCAATCCCAGCAGGCCGACCTGTACTCGCCGCAGCCTTCCCGCCCCTCGCCTCCCTCTGCAGGCCCGGGCAACACGCCGCGTGCCCTCTCCCCCGCGCCCGGCCCGGCGGGGAGCGCGCCGAGGGCAGCGTCTCCCGGCATCTCCCGGCGGGCGGCCGGGGTGGGAGTCGGAGCCGGGGAGGCCGGGGAGGCCGGCTTGCTCGGGGTTTCCAGGTGAAGGGTGAGAAAACAACCGGCGGGCGGGGCGGGGCGAGGGCGGAGGGCGCATTGCCTCATCCTGTACATTTTACTGGAAACGGGACGCATCCGGAGGAGGGGCCGGGAGGCGGTCCCGACGCCGCCAATGGCCCGCCAGGCGCGGGGGAGGCCGGCGAGGCGGCGGTGCCTTCTCCCCGCCCTTGGCCCCGAAGGCCATATAAATACCCGCGCCGCGCCGCATCGCCCCCGTAGCTGCGAGTCCTCCCGCCGCCTGGATCTGAGTCCTCTGAGCCGCAGCACAGCACAGCCGGGACGCAGGCGTCGGGGGCCCGGAGCGCCGAGCCCGGGAGCATGATCGTGGACAAGCTGCTGGACGACAGCCGCGGCGGAGAGGGGCTGCTGGACGCGGCCGGCGACTGCGGCCTCATGACCAGCCCGCTCAACCTGGCCTACTTCTACGGCGCGTCGCCGCCGGCCGCGGCCCCGGGCGCCTGCGACGCCGGCTGCTCGTCGTCGGGGCCCTCGGCCCCGGGCTCGCCCGGCTCCGACTCCTCCGACTTCTCCTCCGCCTCCTCCGTGTCCTCCTGCGGGGCGGTCGAGTCCCGGCCGAGAGGCGGCGCCTTCGCCGAGCGGCTGCAAGGTACCCACCGGACGAGGGCGGCCCGGCGCCCCGTCTGCGCGCGGCGGGAAGGGAAAGGCCTCTCACCGGGAGGGCAGGGTGCGGGCGGCCCAGAGGTTGAGCACCTCGCCTTGTTCGGGGACCTCAGTCCTTCTTTAGCGGTAGCACATAATCACAGGGCCATTATTTATTAGGCGACGCCTGGATGCCTTGCCCTGTGCTGGGCGTTTTCTGTAACTCATGCCCCTCGACCGTCCGTGAAATCCGGGCGCCGTCCAGCTTGAAACGCCTCTCAGGGCCGAGCTCTGACTTTCAGTGGGGGGCGGAGGGGAAGAGTGTTAAACTACGTTAGAGCTTCTCTCTTTCTTCTTTTTTAAAAAACATTATTAAGCCGTAAGTCACATACTGTGGCGCGGTTTTGGATCTGATGTAGGTGTAACCTTTTCTTGTGTCTGAAAGGCTGTCGCTCGCGATAAGGGTGTGATCGCGGCGTTTAAGGTTATGATTTATTCATTCCTAAGTATTTGTGGAAATTTTAAGTAAAAAAACTTTGTTAAACCGGTACTATTAAGATGGACTTACTGAAAGCCAAATCAATTTATGCCTTTAATATGTGATGTTTGAGAGTTTCTGTGGTCGTGTTTCCTTTCTATGTGCTTTAGTATGATTAAGCGGTATCTAGCAAAGAAAGGCATAATGTTTCCTTTCTTGGGTTGTGTATTGGTTAGTTTTTTTTTTTTTATGAGCCAGTTGCATATTTTGGGGAAAAACAGGATGGCACTGTGGGTAGACTAAATAACACGTAGGTAATTTTCAAATGTTGAAAATTTGAATTGAAAGCATGATTTTAAAGAATACTCTCAGGTGTTTGTACTGCTCCCCACTCCTGTTTTGGTTTGCTTTTTATTTTAAAAAGTGATTTTTCATTTTCATTTTTAAAAGTGATTTAAGTCACTAGGTTGTATAAGGTGCTCCCTGTATGTTCAGTGTGTAGCGAATGCAATGATTGTGTGTTCGTGTGTCTGTGTGTGTTATTTAGAACCTTTTCTCCCACATTCTGTCTTCATCTGGCTGAAACTATTTTGCTGGTTACTTGCTTTACCACATAGCCATAGGGGATTTCTGAAACTGAATTCTTCTCCCTGTGACGTTGAATTGTTAACTGCTGTCATTCCAGAGAAATGCTGTATTAGATTCTGGCATGATATCCCTAAACTTAAACCATAAAACTAACTGGTTGTTGAATTTGCTCCATCATTGGGTTGTTGCTCTCATATTACATAAATGTGTGTTCAATTTATTCATCATTTCTTGTCCCATCTTCTTTCTTTTTTCCACTCTTTAACAGCAGAGTGGCCGAATTATTCATTTCCTGACTTCTGCATGTTTACTTTGTGTTCAGCTCATCTCGAAAGGTTGTGACAGTAGTGTAGGAAGTGAAGTGCTACACTCAGAGACTACATTTTAAAGTGTATTTTAAAGTTTAAATATGAAATGAGATTATTTCCTTTTTACTTAGAAGGCCTATGTGAGCAATTCCAAAAACAGTGAGGGGAAGTCCTGTGTGTGTATGTGGAAGGGTGTTTAATTAAGCTTAGTGAATTTAAGCAGCTTTCTTGGCATAGCTGAACTGAGAGAAATAATGGGAAACAAGTCTAAGGAGTTGTAGTTGGGATTTGGCACATGGAGATCTGTGTAGGAAGTTTTTGTGCTTTAGGCGAGTGGAATTAATAGACTTAAATTTCCATATGGGCATAAATCCTTCAGTTTGAAAAAATAAAAACTCACTTATTCCTTGTTTTCTCAAGGTTTTTCAAAAGTCAAAATAATTATAGGTTGTGAGAGTTAGGGTGACAGTATCTGTGATCCTGTCTCGTGGGTGTATAAGGTTGAGAAGTCTTCATGTGGGTTTATCTGTTGGCTCCAGAGAGTCCTGAAACCCCATTTTTCTGAGCTTTCCTTTCATTGGGTGCCTGGTGGGGAGACGAGTCAGGCAGCATAGAACCTACATAGGGCTGGGGACTGACACCCAACACCACTGATCGGAGCATGCTGGAAAGGCTTTTCATTTTCTGGCTGTTGGTTGGGATCTTTATACATTAGACATCTGTGCTTTTAGATTATTAAGATTTGTGTCTGCAAAGGGATTTCATTGGGATGTATTTCATGTCCTTTTGAGCAGTTGAGCCCCATATGGGGATTGGAAGGCAGCAGAGAGGACCCTTTCAAGGCGTTCGTGTGAAGAACTCGGTGAAGGAGCTCCTGCTGCACATCCGAAGTCATAAACAGAAGGCTTCTGGCCAAGCTGTGGATGATTTTAAGGTGCCACCTGCTTTTTGTTTGGGATGGGGGAAGGGGGTGGGGGCAGGAGGTTAGTCTGTCTGGGTTAGTATTCTCTGCTGGCCTAGGTCTGGTGAGTCATTTGTAGACCACGAAGCACACAGGAGAGAAAGCACGTTTGTCTTGCTGTCTGCTCTATTCTTCAAGGAGTGAATAAAATGAAAGCCACTTGGCAAGGAAATAAACGGGTTCAATTGAAATGGAACATTTTGATTAGAAAGGGAAAACTCAAATGGTCTTAATAATTTCATCTTGAGTTGTACTAGGGTGAATGTGGAAATGGGGGAAGTTGTAAGATAGAATAAAAATTAAGATAAAAATAAAAACTCTACCAAAGATTGTGGTGAGCTGTAAAGAGTGGCAGAGATGAATCTTTATTAATGTGTATTAAAAAGGGAATTATTTAATATACACTAAATTGGATACTGTCTTCCTTACAGATACAAGGTGTGAACAGAGAGCAATACACAGGTAAGAGTTACTTTTATTAATGTTAAGGGGGCTTCAGAGTAAAATATATAGTGTGATTATGGGTAAAACTTGTACAAAAAAGTGATCACAAACTCCATATTCCTTCTTGGGTATAGAATTGAAGAAGACAGTATCATACAGTGGGAAAAGGAAAGGCCCTGATTTGTTGTCTGATGGCCCAGCTTGCAAAAGGTCAGCTTTACTACATACCCAATTTTTGGTAAGTATCTCACTATTTTCTCTGACTGCCCTTTGGAAGTTATTCCTAGAATAATTTTGGAAGGGAGTGTGCCACTTACTTTTTCTCCCTGTCTAGACACCACCTCAAACACCAACACCCATGGAGAGCATGGAAGATGTTCATCACAATGAAGCCAAACAGGACAGCAGTGCTGACCTGCTTCAGAACATTATCAACATTAAGAATGAGCGCAGCCCAGTTTCCCTGAATACTGTCCAAGTTAGCTGGGTGAACCCTGTGGGGGTCCCTCAGAGCTCACCCCGAGAGCAGTGTCAGGACTTCCATGGAGGGCAGGTCTTCTCTCCATCTCAGAAATACCAGTCATTCCAAGGCAGCAGCTCCCCACACATGATGGATCAGGCATCCATGTACCAGTATTCTCCACAGAACCAGAATATGCATCAGCAGCCGCCGCCACTACAGCACTATATCCACAACCCGGCTCTGGAATACAGTCCTTATTCCAGAACTTCCCAGTCCCCCAACTATGAACAGAACCTCTTTGATGGTCAAGAACCACAGTTCTGCCCAGGCCAAAGTTTTGCATCCCTTCTGAGTAGTCATGGGGAATCTGAGAATATTGCTGTTCCCATTCATACTTCCCCCAGTGTGCAGCAACAAAATGATGCCCACCTGCAGAACTTCAGCATCATACCGCATAGTGCCTGTGAGGCCATGGCGGGGCACGATGCAGGCTCTGCCCCTGTAAGCACTTCACTGCCATTCCAGAACATCATGGGAAATACAGTGAGCAGCACACAGTTAGGGAAGTCATTTTTCCAGTGGCAAGTAGAGCAGGAAGAAAGCAAATTGGCAAATATCTCCCAAGACCAGTTTCTGTCAAAGGATGCAGATGGTGACACGTGAGTATACCTTTATGTCATGAACCTCATTTGGTGAGCCTTCCTTAATGGCTGTAGTGGCACAGAATTTCCCTAAGGCATTCCAAGTTAGACCTTAGCAAGCAGTTGGCTCATCAGATGGGCCAATATAGGTGGAAACTGCTGTTCAGTGATACCTAATATTTTAAAATGAGTTTTCCTTTTTTTTTCCTGGCTGAACAAATTACCTGTTCTAAATTAATAAAAATGTATGTGCTTTCTTTGAATAACTGGTTTTGAAAGATGTTCAAAAAGATGTTCAAAAGATGCTAATCAAGTGTCTATAGAGCAAAAACAGATCATGATTAGTTGGTCATGATCAATTGATTGATTTGTCCAGTGAATACTAATCTGTCCTTACATCTCTGTGGCCTTTGCCAAGGTATTTCACCTCTCCAAGTCTCAGTTTCTTCACATGTAAAATGAAAATACTTCCCACATAGGGCTTTTATGAACACCAAAAAAATAGATTTAAAGCAGTCAGCATGGTTCTTGGTATTCTTTAATCATCCTGTTATAACTCATATTATTAACCTAGTAGAAAAGACAAATTTTGCCCTGTAGCGTTTCATTTAGAATACCAGATTATTGAGAAAGGGGTAAGGAGGAATTTTTTTTTTGAAAGATGATCTTAATGACATAGGAAGTAATTCCTCTCTCTTCCTTTCCTTGTTTCCCAGGTTTCTGCATATTGCTGTTGCCCAAGGGCGAAGGGCACTTTCCTATGTCCTTGCAAGAAAGATGAATGCACTTCACATGCTGGACATTAAAGAGCACAATGGACAGGTGAGGAGCTTGACAGTGAAATTGCAGAGCTGTCATGGTGAAGAGAAGGATGACCAGTCTGAATATTTATGTGTAGATCATTTCAGTGCTCCCGACCCAGAGAGTTTAGTTAATATTAACTTTGAGTTGTTGACTCTTTGCCACCATCAGCCTTGAAGTTATTAATATTAACTTTGTAGCTATTTGATCAAAGACTAACTGGGTGTAATAAAGCCACACCCTAAGCTTATTTTAGTTTCCTTGTGTTACAGTATCTTAGTGCTTATTAATAGAGTTTATTTTCTCTATGTGAGTTTTTCCTTCAGGCTTAGTTTACATTTATATTCGTTGTTATGATAGTGTTACATGTTTTAAAAAAGTATTTTTTTCCTCTGAATGTCCACAGAGTGCCTTTCAGGTGGCAGTAGCTGCGAATCAGCACCTCATTGTGCAAGATCTGGTGAACCTTGGGGCCCAGGTGAACACCACCGACTGCTGGGGAAGGACCCCTTTGCATGTCTGTGCTGAGAAGGGCCACTCGCAGGTGCTTCAGGTAAGAGGCAGCTGGCCTCCATCAGCACAGGGCCAGAGAGCTAGGACTTGGATATTAGAAGGTGGATGCAGGTTGCCTGTTAGAATGATTTATTTTGAGTTGACTTATTCTATTCTTGGAATACTAATAAATATTTGCATAACTTGTCTCTTGCTAACCTGTCTGTGTTTAAATTTTCTAGGCAATTCAGAAGGGAGCCGTGAGGAGCAATCAATTTTTGGATCTTGAGGCAACTAACTATGATGGTAAGCAACTGAAACTTTATTGGCCAAAGAACCGTTTAGAGAGAGGGAGACATTAATAAGGGTGTTAGGTTTCATTCCAAGAAGGAAGGGAGGTAATTAATGCTGAATACTATAAAATTAGCACTAAGACCCAATGGAGAGAATATTCAGATTGCCTTACTCATTCTCATGGAACCCATTTGGAAGGCCGTCCTCAAGGTTGTAATTATAGAATAACTGAAAGACTTGATGGGATGCTTGACCACTGCTTTATTATACTTTTTCTAGGCCTGACTCCTCTACACTGTGCGGTTGTGGCTCATAATGCTGTGGTACATGAACTCCAGAGAAATCAGCAGCACCATTCACCTGAAGTTCAGGAGCTTTTACTGAGGAATAAGAGTCTGGTTGACACCATTAAGTGTCTCATTCAAATGGGAGCAGCAGTGGAAGCTAAGGTAAATTCTGAGCGTCTGCCGCTCAGAAGAGTTTGGAGATGGGGTAGTGGAGAAAAGTGGTTATAGCAAAAGACCTTTTCCCAAGTATAGATTAAAACTTTTTTTTCTCTTTTTAAAAATTAACAGAGTAAATAGTAATGTATTGATAGTTAAGAAGCATAGATTATAGTCATCTACTTTCCTGATTTGCTTTTAATCTGTGGATTATTATCCAAAAGACCATTTAGCTGTGAAATAAATTAGTCTTTGTTTGAAGGAGAAAGAAATGCTTGAAATTGATACTGTCATTTTGGCTTCTATTTCCATACATGGGTAATAATAGTAGTGCTTTTTGTAGGGATTGCCTCATCACTGTGGGATCTGGACTTAATCTTCTGATTTTTAAACTGGAAAATATTTTATTCTTTTTAGAATGAAATTTGAGGTTTATATACTGAGTATATCTATGCACAAGGCACTGAGTTAGGGACTCTTGGGGAAAAGCCTAAGTCATATGCTGTATGGGTCCTTGGGAACCATACAGATACTTGGGAATTTACTGTTTAATAGAAGAGGTGAGAGATGCAGCTAATTCCAGTCTACAGGGTGGCCGCCAAGTCTGGAAACACAGGTGAATACATAATAAATGGTTTATTGTATTATGATACATGACAAATAGTATCTATGTTTCTACATTTTATGGCTACTCTGTGTACAAGGGTAGACTGTGATAAGAGGCATGTAGGCAAATTAATAGGGAATTCAGGAGGAGTGAGAGATTTCATCTAGCTTGGGATTGAGGAAGGCTTTCATTTGGCAAGTTTCCAAAGGTGAGGCAGACATTTGAGAAACTGGGTGGAAAGCATACCCAAGGTGTGGTGTCTGGATGTTCATTTTCTTCCCCTCTTGCCTTTGATAAGGATCGTAAAAGTGGCCGCACAGCACTGCATTTGGCAGCTGAAGAAGCAAATTTGGAACTCATTCGCCTCTTTTTGGAGCTGCCCAGTTGCCTGTCTTTTGTGAATGCAAAGGTACCTTTCGAAAGCTTCAGTAACAACACTAGAGTTGGAATGACCTTTACACCTTCTTCAAGCTTCTGAGCTACTTTCCTGAAAGTCCCCCTTCCTGATGGGTGTCATTTCGTCGCTTTGTCTTCAGGCTTACAATGGAAACACTGCCCTCCATGTTGCTGCCAGCCTGCAGTATCGGGTGACACAGTTGGATGCGGTCCGCCTGTTGATGAGGAAGGGAGCGGACCCAAGTACTCGGAACTTGGAGAACGAGCAGCCAGTGCACTTGGTTCCTGATGGCCCTGTGGGAGAGCAGGTGAGTGTCACTGGGCAAGGGAATCCTCTCAGGCCTGTGTCTGACACACAGGGAGATGAGATTACACAGGGCGGAGGCCAGCTGCTGCTCTTCAGGAGGGTTCTGTCGGCGTCTGTGTAGCCCAGGGGTCATGGTAGCACTTGGGAGTCAATTGCTTTGTTTCCAAAGGAAGAAAAGAAATTTGAGGGTTTATCCACGGACCCAAAATAGTCAGAGGGCAGGTAGTCTTGTTTTTTCTTCCATGGCACAAACTTGGGTTTAGTGTAAGTCAGAATGGTTTGAGGTTTGGAAGCTCATGAAACAGGAAGGTACCAGGATCCTGCAGACACCAAAGAAAAGAGAATTTTAGTTTTGTGAGTGATGACCTTTTAAATATTGTGGATATTAAGTGAGTCAGTAAGAAATGGGAAAGTTATTTTATGTAGTTTAGAACCTAGAAATGTTTTATACTTAAAGCAAAATTATGCTTTACCATCATATATTTATATATTATTTTGGGGGACTGAATAGATTTACGTGACGGAACTTTTCTTGATAAACAAGACTTGATTTTTTAAATAATTTAATATATTTTTAATGGAAATCTTTCCCTGGGAGAAATGAGAGTGACTGGCTATATATTTAGGTCATTACATACTTTGATAATCACAAAATAAAGTATATGAAATGCAATGTAGCCTTTTGTTTGATTCATAGCCCTCGATAAGACTATAATGTGCCAGGAATCTGTATTTGTAGAGCTCTTTATAACTTAAACTGAATGTCTTGATAATTTGTAAAGAGTTTTCATTGTTATTATACCACTTAATAGTTATGAAAACTGCAGTATAATAGTTCAGCTGAGGAAATGCAGATTCAGAGGTTCCAGAAATAGGAACCACCATCAAGTAGTAAATGGCAGAGACCTAAACCCAGTGTTGGCTTCTACCTCACTGTTTGTAGCGTGCTGTCGCATAGCCATGTTCTCAGGGATTATTGGGTGTGGAGAGCCCTTTGCCTCTTCACTAAGTGTTCTCAATTACTCTCCCTTCTGCTTTTGTATTCCTGTGTCTGTGTGTGGGGGTGGGTCTCTTCCTTTGCTTCTACTGTTAGACTCTGATCTTTGTGTCTTCTCTTAACAGCTGTCAGTTGTATCCCCTACCCTAATCATCTTCTAGTTTACTGCATTTAGTCTGCTGTGGGCTGAGAAACAGATAATAAAATTTGCCAGACTAAGATATAAAGTCAATCACTGGGCTCTGAAAGAGCCTAGGGGCTTTCCTGTGATGCGTAAAGTTATATGCAGAAGATTTAATTCTTTGGTATCATGACAGCTATTTTGAATTGAATGCTATTAAGGATTTACTTGTGTGTGTTTAAAGTGGGTTCTGGGTTCTTGGTAATTGAACCTGACTTCAAGATAGGTGAGATACTATAATACACCATAATTCTGCCTTATATTAAATGTTCTCACAAACAGGAGGAGTAAAGATTAGGAAGGGAGTATAGATTTTATTTAAGCTGTTGGAAATTTTAAACTTCAAATAATTCAGGAGATTTTAAACTTCAGAGATGCTTTGCTTTCTTGCCCTCAAACGTCATTGCAGGAGATCTGTAATAAGCTGTGAAAGGAGTTTGTTTTTTAAGTCACCTTAAAATCTTAATTGTTGCCTGTTTCTTCATATACTTATTACATGTTAACAGGAGTGATGTAGACTTTATAAGAGAGGAACTCTGAAGGAAATGGCCATAAGAAATAAACCTTACAAATTCTGTTTATTTCTATTCCAGATCCGACGCATCCTGAAGGGCAAGTCCGTTCAGCAGAGAGCTCCACCATATTAGCTCCACTGACTTGGAGCCTGGTCGGCAACACTCACTGTCAGTTAGGCAGTCCTAATGTATCTGTACATAGACCATTTGCCCTGTACTGGCAAATGTAAGTTGTTTCTATGAAACAAACATATTTAGTTCACTATTATATAGTGGGTTATATTAAAAGAAAAGAAGAAAAATACCTAATTCCTCTTGGCAGATTTTAATATTTCATACCCAGGTATCTGGGATCTAGACATCTGAATGTAATCTGAATGGTAAAATTGGCTTCAATTAACAGTAGCCTTTGGGTAGGAAAAAGCTTTGATTTGTGGCATAAAACATTGCACATATAGCTATTGCCAGTGTAAAAGCAGGTAAATTATAAGCTTTTTTTTTTTTTAAGGAAAATTAAAGCATTTGAAAGGAAAGAAAATAAATCTGGATACAGTGTTGAGGTTTTGTTGACCTGGTATGTTACCTAATAGTTATTGGCATCGGAAAGTTCTAGTCATTGGACTAGATGAAAGGTACCAAGGTTAAAATAAGGTTTTTGTAAACAGTATATAATTATTTTTGTCTTTAAAATATTTTACCTATTTGTTCATTAAAATGGCCATATTTAAAATGTATAAATCAATAAAGCAGAAAAGAATAAGTGTATTGTCACTATTTAAAAAGATTATATACATTCGGAGGAGCTGTGTAATGACCCAACTACTGTCTCTGTAGATAAAGCAAATGGAGAGTTGGTCCCCTACTGGCTGACAGAGCTGTTTGAATAGCAAATATGCTTTTTCTCATGTGTTATGTGTTGAGATGAGACACATGATTTGTATGGAATTGCATGCTCCTAAAGAGACACCTCCTATGGCTCATTTTCTAGAATTTATAATTTACTTGCTCTGTTGAAATTTTATCTTCATAGGAACATCAAAAAGTCAATATTTAAACGTGTCTGTATGGTTTTCTATTATCAGATAATGATAATGTACCATGATTTTATATTACCATTCAGAAAAAAATGCTTTATTTTTTAGTACCCTTAATTCAATTAATATTATTTTGTGCTTACTTTTGGCTTACCCCAAGGAATGTATTTGGCTTTGATTACACACTAATTCATTATAATAAATTTGATTCATTAAAAATTTTTTAAATAATGAGAAGTCTCACAAGCAACTGACTGACTAATCATCTTTGCAGCTTAAATCCTTTTAAAAAAGATAACCTTTGGATCGATCACATTGTTTGACCCAGTATGTCTTGTGGACAAATGTTAACTATAGTTATTTGGTGTCTGTAAATACCACTGTGATGTGAACCAATCCATTCACCCTCATGGGAAAACTCAAGCATGGTTTTAAATAAACATTAATTCGATAACACTGTTCATTTTAAGGATGTGTTTTCTTTTCCTAGTTCCTTATTTATAGTTGCCTAGGTTGGAAAGGTGCTATTAATTACTAATCTAAATACCTTTAAATTAGTTAACATTTTAATTTGGATATTTTTTTTTGAGAATATGTTTCCTGAAGGTGTATAACATATAATATCAAGAAACTCTGCCATGTTCATAGAGGTTTATCAGGTTCTGAAAATGTCATGGAAGTTTAATAGATTATTGGTCATTTAGAAGTTTTATGTGTGAAAAAAACTAACTCTTTAAGATTTTATTTTTCATTCTGTATTTTGTGGGGGCAGTGAGCATCGGGAAAATGATCTGGAGATGACCAGGTTCATCCTGTGAGAGAGAGACATGGGAACAGCAGTAAATGGGGTTCTTCCCTTTCCTAACATGCCATTTTGACATGAGAGAACAAAGACATCAACATCTGTCAGCACCAATTATATTCTGGTTCTTACAAGGTGTGCTGAGAATCTGGAGAAGGCTATGAATCCTTTCCTTGAAAGATGCACCTATGCGTCTGTTCACAAATATATACAGTATCAGGGGCTTCACAGCCACCAGAGTCTATGATTCATAGGTTAAGAATCTACTATAGTTCCATTTCTGTACATCAAATATAATTTATTTCATATAGATGAAATCAAGAGTAGTTGGTATTGCAAATGCCATCTGCTATGGCATCCACTTTAGTGAATACCATAAAAAGGGAAGGAAATAGATTCGAAAGAGGGAGAATTTATACCTAATGGGGAGAACAAGGGGGACTTCAAGGTAAAGCATATGAGCTGTACCTTCTGAACAGTTGATTTGGATGTTCACAGAGGGAGAGGCGGGGGAGGTAAAAGAAATAAAATGACTTGAGCCAAGGCAATGGCATTTTGGGGGAACCACAGGTGAATCAGTGTAGTTTGGTTAGTATCCAGAAAGCCAGTAAGTTTCATGTGTTCTCTGAGTGGTAATACTCTCATGAGTAGTGTGTTGAGAAAGATCCTCTGAAGTAGTCTAAGGGCTTGGCAGACTTAAGAGAGTGCTGTGACTGATCAGTATCTGCCACAGGGGTGGGGGGTGGCTCTTGATGGGATATGTTTTAAAGAATAAGCCCCACATAAGCTAGCACTACATGCTCATTGCTGTTCCCTCAGTGCCTAGCACAGTGCCTGGCACACAGTAGGAGTGCATAAAATGCTGGTTAAATAAATGAATGAATGAATGTATGCCAATCTGGGTTGGGTTTGGGGGGGGAAGTGGTGTTTTGAGTCAGAGTTCTATTATTAAGTACCTATAAACTAATGACCGTCGTATTTCTGAACTTAACTCAGCCATATAATTTAATAGTGATATTGATGACATGCCAATGAAAATGGGCACAGTTGTACTCTTTTTTTAAAAACCAGTCTGTCCCCCTTCATAAAGGACTAATTCTAGTACTGTAGTTTGGTATTTTACTAAGGAATTCCCTCAAGTGTCACAGACCAAATCTTTCAGTTCTATTTGTTAATCAAATCAGTAACATTTAACATCCTTTCTATAATTTTGCTTAATCAGGAGCAGAAAATTTCCTCAAATTCCTCTAACCTTTAATAAATGTCAACTTTTAAACTCAGTACCACTGACTTCCATTTTCTGATAACACCAGTCCTGTATTGAACATGAATGACCTCAGGGAGAAAACTTCAGACCCTGGCTAAGTTCCTGATGGTGCCTCTGAGAGCAGGCCTGGGGACAAGGTTTTTGATGAGTTATAACCAGACCGTTGGGTTTTTGGTGTTCCTCCTAGTGCCCTGGATTTGTTCTTGTGAGGAAGAGAGGGACTCTCTTTTTCATCATCAGAACTAGCATGTATCTGACACATAGTCGACATTCAATAAGTGCTTCATAGATGGAATTTAACTTTATGGCTCCCTTTTAAATTTGTATTTTCTTAGCATATTTCATACTTCAGTGTCTAAATGTTTTGTCACTCATAGGGAATTTATGATTTAATGCAGCAATACTGTTCTCCCTCAGCTATACACCATGTCTGGTTTCATTGTATTTTTTCAGTTCTCTCATTTCGCTCTTGGGAGTCTGTGTAGAATGAGAAACGTTGCATAGATGGCTCATTTCCAGGAGGAGTAGGACTAGAGATGGCCCTCCAAGTGTGTCTAGCTATCTACTGTGTATTCTTTGCCCTCTGGCCTCATGCTCCCTGCTTCCTCCATCACCCCCATCTCCCTGCCTGTCACTTCAAGTTTGTTTTTGAATGAGAGTAGCCGGACAGCTAGTCCAGCTACTGAATGACCTACGTTCAAGGTTTCAGTCTTTGGTGGACATCAGCATCTTTTGTGAAGCTTATTAAACGTGCAAATGCCTGGGTCCCACCCCAGCCTTCCTGAATCAGAATTTCAAGGGTTTTCAGGGCTCCAGAGTATATGTGAAGATGATTCCACTACACAGTTTTAGACTAAATTAATTAGGTGGTGCAGACTTTGGAGAAGAACTGTGGCTGGGCCACAGCCATTTGGAGGTAACAGATCGGGTTGCTGGAATGCCCAAGGGGATCAGGTAGCAAAGAGATGAACATCTGCTCTGCGCCAGGCACGTTGGATCCTGTGTTACGGAAACTAGCTTTGACGGAGAGATCAGGACTCACCTAATCGTATGTTTTTCTTTCAGAAAACACTTTTTGTTTTGTTTGTTAATGAAAACTTACAACAAAGGTCATTCTGGTTTTTAATTCTCAGGTGTATTAGTTTCCTAGGACTGTGTAGCAAATTATCACAAACTCGGTGGCTTAAAAGAAATTTATTCTCTCACAGTTGTGGAGTCCAGAATTCAGAAATCAAGGTGTTGGTAGGACACCTCCAAAGGCTGCTCCCTCCAAAGGCTCTGGGGCAAATCCTTCCCTGCCTATTTCAGTTTCTGGCAACTCCGGCCATCCCTTGGCTTGTGGCAATGTAGCTCTGATTTGCCTCCATCTTCCCAGGGCCTCATCCTCTTCTCCCTGTGCCTGTCTGCTGTGTGTCTCTTATGAGGATGCCTGTTAATGGATTTGGGGTCCAGATCATCCAGGATGACCTCATCATGAGATTCTTAATTACATATGCAAAAACCCTTTTTCAAAATGAGGTAATGTTCACAGGTTCTGAATATTAGGATGTGGACATACCTTTTGGGGGGCCACCATTTAACCCACTATACTAGGGAAAGAGGCTTTACAATCTTTCTCCTACCAGTATTTCTCTTACCAAGGGATTAAGAGATTATTATTTTTATTTTTTTTATTTTGGTATCAATATACAATTACATGAACAACATTATGGTTACTAGACTTCCCCCATTATCAAGTCCCCACCACACACTCCATTACAGTCACTGTCCATCAGCATAGTGAGATGCTATAGAATCACTACTTGTCTTCTCTGTGTTATACTTCCTTCCCCGTGTACCCCCTGCTACATTATGTGTGCTAACTGTAATGCCCCCTTTGCTGAACACTTATTTTTAAGCAATCCTCAGTCTTGTCTTCAGAATCTACGAACATCTTTGACATAATTACTGATTCAGTGTATGATACATTGTATCTATTTCACTTATTAGCTAGAATACTTGGCATTGACCAGGAGACTCATTGAATATTGGTAAACTTCAGTAGAAACAATAAAATTATTATTGAGCTGTAATTTAAACATTATTATAAGGATTAAAAGAGCTTTAACTAATGAAAACTTAAAACAAAGCTTCTTTGATTATCATTAGTTGTTCTCCTCTGCAGTACAATTATGAATAAACCTGCTACTCTTCACCTTGGATCTCACTACCTAGAGTTGACCATGTGGGAAGCAACATGATCACAAATTAAATGCTTGAGTTTCAGACCATCTGACCTTGTAATGATAATACCAGACTACATGCATCACTGGAAACTGCAGATGTTTGAAAGTGAAGGGTCAACTCAAGGAAATCCATGATTTCAGACAATAAATTTTGATCCACTTTACTAAACTCCATTGAAATACACTTACAGGTCTAGATATTACTTTTTTAAGTGACAGGATTCTGGCTATTCATCTGAAAATAAAGGTAGCTCTGGGGCTTGAATCCAGCATGTGTTTCCTATTAGAAGAACTTAGAACTGTTGGCCTTGACAGTAGAGATAAATGTCAGGTTGTGAAATAATTCTAGATTCTTTAGCTTAATTGATTTGATGCTTAAGTTTGAAATCACTGTTTATTTTCTCAGTTCATGGTATGTAAATCCACATGGCCTTTTCTCCCTATTTGCAACCAAATGTCTCTTAGGCAGGACTTCAGTTTCAAGCACTTCTGTAAGAGTGTGGGGCATCTCCTGACTGGTACTTGTGGAAGCCACAGGTGCTGACTGCTCTTGAAGTGAACTGTTCCTGCCTTCAGGACTTAGTTTGGGAGTTGATTAGTCTCAATGGGAGCCTGACCCAAAGAAAAGAGTCTGTCTTTCCTAATGTTTTTTACATTAGATATCAGTTTCATTCATCTTTTAAAAGCCAGTCTCTACCTTTTTTGCTCCCAAGAAGTATTCCTTCAAGAATTACAGGAGAATTTAAGAAAAGTGCTCTATTTTAGGCTCTTGCAGATATGGAAATAAGAATTGTTCCTCTTCAAAACAGCAATTTTGTCTGATGTAATCTTTAATGTTTATCTAAAGAAAATTTAAAATATATGACTTGGGAAAACAAGTAAATATTTTGACCTTTTGGGTACTTCCATCCAAAAGATCTCAAAAAAAATTTTAAAAGGTAAATTTTAGGACCTAACTTACAGGAAACTTCAAAAATACTATATTACTTTACCATATCTAAAAGAACATTGAATAAATGAGATACCTGTAGTGGCCTATGAAATGGTTTTTTAAATTTTTTTAATTTTAAAAATTTTGGTATCATTAATCTACAATTACATGAAGAACATTGTTTACTAGGCTCTGCCCTTCACCAAGTCCCCCCCACACCCCATTACAGTCACTGT